TATTGCATTTACCCACCTGCTTTAGCTACAGCTGGTTTTCACCCACGGATAGCTCCCTTTTGGTCTGAAGCTTGGACTATTCAACCCCGTAAACAAAATACTGGGGTGAAAATAAAGAAAGAAAGAAATACATAATATGGGGGAAGGAGATAAGCTTCAAGAGACCTCTGTCATTCCAATCCTATGGGAGACAGTGAACTTGCTCACACACTGAGCACAGTGCTACTACAACCAGCATCTGAAAAAGCCGTCATACAAAGACTCTACAACCAAGGAACTCATACAGAGCCTTCACCCCTGAAAGCACTCCTGAAAGCATACAGAGCCTTCACCCCTGAATTAGGCTACAATAAACTATAAACATTTAAGTCACATCATTAAGGGGGGAAAAAGAAATTTAAAAAAACAAATTTAGGCTGGGCACAGTGGCTCACACCTGTAATCCCAGCAGTTTGGGGAGGCCGAGGATGGCAGGTCACTTGAAGTCAGGAGTTTGAGACCAGCCTGGCCAACATGGTGAAATCCCATCTCTACTAAAAATACAAAAATTAGCCACGCATGATGATGGGCACCTGTAATCCTAGCTACTCAGGAGGCTGAGGTACGAGAATCACTTGAACCCAGAAAGTGGAGGTTGCAGTGAACCAAGACCATGCCACTGCACTGCAGCCTGAATGACACAGTGAGACTCTGTCTCAAAAATAAGAAGAAGAAGAAGAAGAAAAGAAATAACAAAGATGAGAGCAGAACTAAATGAAATTGAGAGCAAAAAAATACAAAAGATCAATGAAACAAAAAGCTGATTCTTTGAAAAGATAAACAAAATTGATAGACCCATTAGCTAGATTAACCAAGAAAGAAGAGAGAAGATTCAAATAGGCTCAATCAGAAATAAAACTGGAGACATACAACCAATACTACAGAAATACAAAATGTCATTGGAGACTACTCTGAATACCTCTAGGCACACAAAACAGAAAACCTAGAGGAAATGGATAAATTCCTAGAAGCATACAACCCTCTTAAATTAGATAAGGAAAAAACAGAAACCCTGAACAGACCAATAACAAGCAGAGAGATTGAATCAGTACATTTTTCAAAATGCCAACAAAAAAAAAAATACCAAGGCCAAATGGATTCATAGCTGAATTCTACCAGACATTCAAAGAAGAGTTGGTACTAATACTACTGAAACTATTTCAAAAGAATGAGAAAGAGAGAATCCTCTTTAAATCATTCTATGAAGCTAGTATCACCCTGACACCAAAACCAGGAAAGGACATAACAAAAAAAGAAAACTCCGGACCAATATTCCTGATGAACACACATGCAAAAACCTCAATAAAACACTAGCTAACTGAATCCAACAGCATATCACAAAGATACTACACTGTGATCAAGTTTATTTCATCCCAGGGATGCAGGCATGGTTTAACATAGGCAAGTCAATAAATGTAATACATCACATAAATAGAATTTAAAACAAAAACTATATTACCATCTCAGTAGATGCAGAAAAAGGATTTGATAAAATTCAGCATCGCTTTATGATTTTAAAAAACCCTCAACAAACTAGGCATAGAAGGTACTTAATAAATTTTCAAATTAATAAATTACTCAAATTAATAAAAGCCATCCATGACAAATCCACAGCCAAAACCATACTGAATAAGAAAAAGTTGAAAGCATTCCCCCTGAGAGCTGGAGCAAGAAAAGGATGCCCACTTTCACCACTTCTATTCAACATATTACTGGAAGTCCCAGCCAGAGCAATCAGATAGGAGGAAGATATAGGGCATCCAAATTGGAAAAGAGAAAGTCAAACTATCACTGTTCATTGATGATATTATCATATACCGAGAAAGCCCTAAACACTTCTCCAAAAGACTCCTAGATTTGATAAATTAATTCAGTAAAGTCTCGGATTACCAAATCAGTGTACACAAATCAGTAGCGCTGCTATACACCAACAATGGCCAAGCTAAGAATCAAATCAAGAACTCAATTCCTTTTACAACAGCTGGAAAAAAAAAAAAAACCTAAGAATACATCTAACCGAGGAGATGAAAGATACCTGCAAGGAGAACTATAAAACACTGTTGGAAGAAATCATAGATGACACATCCCATGTTCGTGGGTTGGAAGAATCAATCTTGTGAAAATGAACATACTGCCCAAAGCAATCTACAGATTCAATGCAATTCTATTAAAATACCAATATCATTTTTCACAGAATTAGAAAAACAATCCTAAAATTCATATGGAACAAAAAAGAGCCAGAATGGTCAAAGCAATCCTAAACAAAAAGAACAAATCTGGAGGCATCACATTACCAGACTTCAAGTTATACTACAAGGCTATAGTTACCAAAACAGCATGGTACTGGTATAAAAGCAGGCACTTATGCAAATGCAACAGAATAGAGGACCTAGAAATGAAGCCAAATACTTACAGCCAACTGATCTTCAACAAAGCATACAAAAACATAAATTGGAGACAGGACACCCTATTTAATAAATGGTGCTAGGAAAACTGGCTAGTCACATTTAGAAGAATGAAACTGGATCCCTATCGCTCACATTATACAAAAATTAACTCAAGGCGAATCAAATACTTAAATCTAAGACTCAAAATCATAAAACTTCTAGAAGGTAACCTTAAAAAAACTCTTCTGGACATTGGCTTAGACAAAGAATTCACAACTAAAACTCCAAAAGCAACTACAACAAAAATAAAAATAAATAAATGAGACCGGATTAAATTTAATAGCTTCTGCACAGCACAAAAACATAATCAGCAGAGTAAACAGATAACCCACAGATTAGGAGAAAATGTTTGCACACTGTGTATCTGAGAAAGGACTAGTATCCAGAATCTACAAGGAACTCAAACAAGTCAGCAAGAAAAAGAAATAGGCCCATCAAAAATGGGCAAAAGATATGAATAAATATTTCTCAAAAGAAGATATACAAGCGGCCAACAAACATATGAAAAAATACTCAGCATCAGTAATCATCAGGGGAATGCAAATGACATATCACCTTACTTCTGCCAGAATGGTCATTATAATAAAGTCAAAAAAATAGATGTTGGCGTGGAAGTAGTGAAAAGGGAATGCTTATACACTGCTGCTGGGAATGTAAATTATTACAACCGCTATGGAAAACAGTATGGAGATTTCTTAAAGAAATATAGATCTAAAAGTAGATCTCGGAGGGGCCGGTCTTTGCTTGGATTTCAGGCTGCTTAGTCACCCTCCAAACTCAATTCTCAGATGGGTTTAAGAAAAGTTGTAATTTTGTAGTATATCTGGCTTTTTCTTGTTATGTGGGAGTAATACTTTTTTAGCTTTCTATATCCTTGGTGAAAGTAGACTCTATCCAAATCTTTAACTCTTCATTTCTTTTTCTTATTTTGAGATAGGGTTTCACTCTGTCACCCAGGCTAGAGTACAGTGGTACTATCGCAGCTCACTGCAACCTCAAACTCTCTGGGCTCAGGAGATCTTCCCATCTCAGCTTCCCAAGTAGCTGGGATTACAGACGCGTGCCACCACACCTGGCTAAATTTTTGCATTTTTAGTAGAGATGGGGTTTTGTCATGTTGCCCAGGCTGGTATCAAACTCCTGGGCTCAAGCGATCTACCCCCCTCAGCCTCCCAAAGTTCTGTAATTATAGGCACGAGCCACCGAACCTGGCCTAACTCTTCATTTCTTAATTTAAAAAAATTTTAAAGAGATCCAAATGAGCGAAGTGATATCATATATTAAACCTCATTGATGGTTCCATGGCCTGGCAAATAATTTTTTAGCTGGTCACATCATCTTGAATTAAAACTTCATTTCCCACCTATCATGCAATTAGATGTGGCAATATTACTACATTTTAGCCAACAAGGTATGAATGAAAGTGTGGTATAAACGTTCTTGGGAGTTTCTTTAGAGAAAGAGGGATTCCTATGTGGTAGGATGTGGGTGAGATTTCTGGAGTTCCAACAACCAACTTACAAACACAAAGGCATCCTAGGAATGGCACACCAGAGACTTGGAAGTTGCATCCCCAGTGATGATGATATAGAACTGCCAAACCAGCCCTGGATTGACCATCTACAGACATGGTTTAGGTGAGAGAAAAATTAATGTCCTTCTTGTCTAAACCAATGTTATTGCCTGGAATGAAGGGGAACTCATTCTATTGCCACCCATCTTAGTCCAAACTGCCACACTTGGTGACATATTGTTTTGGTATGTTTGAATTATTTCATTATTTAAATGTTTAGTTAAAGCAAAATTGCACAGACAGTAAAAATATCAACAATATGTAAATATGCATTGAGGAAGAGAAATATGTCAACATTGCTTCTCTCTGGGTCGTGAGATTATGTGTATGTTTTTTTCTTTTATCCTTAGCCATGCCTATTTAACTTTCCCACATTGAGCATAATTCACTGAAGTTTTTGTTATACTGAAGCGTGGTTCTCCTCCTCTGCTGGCACTGGTATGTCATCGCCTCTGGGCTGCTTAGAAGACTCCTTCAGCATGTGCTATTTCCACAGCACCTCTCTGCAACCTTCATCTTTCTTTGTGAGTCTCTTCCTCCTGACCATGTGGTAGCCCCATTCTGAAACCAGAATTATAAATAAATAAAGACTTGGATTTGCCTCTGTCTTTTCCCACACTTCATACTTCCTGCTCCTGTTCACCAAGGAGGAGATTTTCTCCCAACCAGTGACTTCAGCATCAATTAGGAGTCCCAAAGAAATCCTGGCGCTCTTGGCTTTAGCATCCTTTCTCAAATGTCTTGGAATAACTTTCAGGCACTGTATTGGAGACCATAACATTACCTAGGATCCCTCAGGGACGAAGAACTACCGTCTCCTTGAATTCTGGATGATCTGCTACTTCACAATGAGTTCCAAACTCACAAAAAGTATCCAAAGCCACATAGTTTGAGGGTAATCTTTGTTTCCTTTCTTGTTCAAGACAGTAAATTTTACTGACCTGGTATATTCTTTATCTATTGCTGCATTGAAAATTACCCCAGCTGGGCTACAGTCAACGCAGAGTTCAACTGGGACAAGATATACTTCCAAACTCATCCAGTGGCTGTTGGCAGGTTTCACTTCCTTTTGGGCTGTTGGGCTGAGGACTCAGTTCTCTGCTGGATGCTGACTAAGAAGCTGCCCTTGATTTCTTGCCTTGCAGGTTGCTCCATCACGGCAGCTGGTTTCAGCATCAAAGCACACAAGTCAAGAAGTCGAGAGAGAGAGAAGGAGAAAGCAGCAGTAAGAGAGATTCCTAGCAAAGTAGAAATCACAGCCTCTTGCAGCCTCATCATGAAAGTGACATCCCATTGCTTTTGTCATATTCCATTAATGAGAAGCAGGTCAACAGGTCTGGCCTATTGACCTGGAGGAGGAGCTTACCTAAAGAGTAAGGACCAGGAGTTGGAGAGCACTGCAATATATCTTAGAAGTCTGCCTACCACACAAGGCCTCACATCAGTCCAAAAGTCCCCTTCAGTTTTTCCCAGAAGATCTAGCAGGACCTCAGGCAAACTGAACTCCAAATGACCCCTACTTCTGTAAGTAGCAGCCCAGACACATTAATTTCTACTTTCCAAAGTTGTTCTTCTGTCCTCTGCTTGTCACACCATCACATTTAGCTTGGATTTCAGAGAATGAAAATGGCAGACAGACAAAAGGAAAGCTTATCTGAAATTTAAGATTTTAAGGATGCTGCCAGTTTCCAAAAGCAATTCTACCCTGGTAAAATAAAATCCTTATTCTGCTTGTCCAGGATACTTGACCCAGAGCCCAACAAGGCAGTATTCCCATTCACACTCACTGAAGCCACTCTGTCTTCCTGAAAGAGTTATCTTGGCTCTACTCTGTAGCTCAGCTCCTACAGAGGGACTTAAAAGGAAACAACAGTTCTTGGTTCAAAGCAATGAAGAGACAAGTGAGTCATAATAGTCTGGGTTCTTCACCAGCATAAGCAGTTCCATGCATCGCCTCTATAAAAACCCTGCCCTTCTAGCCCAACCCGTGTTCCAAGTGCCAAAACCTTCCATTCAAGGGTTTTATAACTCAGCCCTGTGCTCAGAAATGTCACTGCACATAAGAGGGCCTTTGACCTCTGGCCATACCCAAGCCCATAGTCTGCAGCGAAACATGCTTTGGTAAGTATCTAAAGAGTAAAGCACTTTGGTTTCCTCTCATCTATTTCTATTCTACTTTTAATCAGCTGCTTAGCTTCAGGCGTCTGCCCTCTGCCCTCCAAGCTTCATCTCAACCAGAAGTAAAACAGGCCTGTGGTTGTGTGCTTTGAGAGCTCATGAAATAACAATACTGGTAGCAAACACCCATAAAGGGCTTACTATGTGCCAGGCACCATCCTAAGTAGTTTCTGTAGGTTATTGTATGTAGGTTTTTACAGATGAGGAAATGGAAGCATAGAAAGGCACTGAGTGACTAGCTTTCTGACGAAGTCACAGTCAGAGAAACAGAGCCAGAAGTTAAAATCAAGCAATGCATCTCCAAAATGCATCTTACCCCTGCACAATGAAAGAGAATACAAGTCCCCTCAGAGAAGGGGAAATATGAAGTCAGAAATGCGAGTATTTCTTTAATAAGAGAGAACATGTGCAGCAAACTCCTTCAATCTAGAAACACTTTCTTTTTCCAGGTACTGGGTTAGAAATCCCTTCAATAAGAAAACTAAATGGGCAAGCCTTTAAACCAAACCAAAATGTGTCCTGAGCTTTCAATGAATCAAATTGAACTCAAGGCCCCAAGTCTGAATAAATTATACCCTAAGATCTGTCAGAAGCAATAGATTTCTTCTGCTGAGTTTTTCTTCCATTCAATAGAAAGACGTAAGAGCTCTGTTGCTGCCCAATTGCTTTACTAAAAAATATATATATATATATTTTGAGATGGAGTCTTGCTCCGTCACCCAGGCTGGAGTGTAGCGGCAGGATCTCAGCTAAGTGCAACCTCTGCCTCCCATGTTCAAGTGATTCTTCTGCCTCAGTCTCCCAGGTAGCCGGGATTACAGGCTCCCACCACCACACCCAGCTAATTTTTGTGTTTTTAGTAGAGACGAGGTTTCACCATGTTGTCCAGGCTGGTCGCAAACTCCTGACCTCAAGTGATCTGCCCGCCTCAGCCTCCCAAAGTTCTGGGATTACAGGTATGAGCCACTATGGCTGGCACAGAAACTTTCTTACTCATTTGAATTGAAAACTTCTATGTTTTTAAAGCATGTTTTCATTAAGTGTGGAAATTCATAAAATATGGCCAGGTAGGAAGACGATGTTCATAAACTAGATTTATAATCTATCATTTCAAACATTGCTGTATTCAAAAATCAGTTATCCAGAATTCACTCCAGAGAAGTTTGTATGTACAAATAGTTGTTATAATGAAACCTACCTTTCCTTTCTCAATCCGTGTCATGTGGATCTAAGCCCCTCCCTCAGAAATGGGGTGGGCATGTGTGTCCTCTTGGTGAGACCACTCTATCGCCCTAGCCAACGCAATTGCTTCAGAGATGGTTACATAGCCCTAGCTGGACCATTACAAGTCTCCAAACCTTTGCTGGAATTACTGAGAGACAGAGAATTCAAAAAGAACTCAGTATATAAAAACTACTGGAGTTAATAAGCAAGTAAAATGTTAACACAAGACTGTAACTGCCCCAGGTCACCAGATGGGGGAGAGTGCACCTGAAAAGAAGTCAATACAGAAGAAACCAGATAGAAATAACTTCCGGTGATCCAGTGGGGGCCTGGATCCAGCTGTACCTGAATCTCCTCCAATGCTGTGCAGTTAAGTATGCCAGTATGTCTTTTCTGCATTTAAATCTGTGCATTGGGCTTCTGCTTCTTGTAACCTAGGGAGGCCTGACTAGTTCCTAGGAGCAGGTGTGGTTCCACATCCTGTTCAGTTACTACTGACCACAGCAGGTAGTGTGAAATGACACCCCAGAGAGCTGCATATTTCAAAGCCACACCCACATTCTAGGTGTGCCAGTGAAAACAATCCAGCAGCAGTGTGCACAGCTGGGGCTGACTTAAGAGCTCCTAGGAAGGCCCAATCCTACAGCTAAAGGTCATGTAAAGATGTTGTGGAGAGATAATAAACAACACACACATGCGCACTCAGTAGGCAAAAATACCACATATACTCTTCTCTGAGGAAATAACCATGAGCAAAGTATGGATATGAGTCAGTAACTGACTATAATTAAGGGCTTCCCTCCCACTCCAGTAACATCTAAATCAAGGCAGAGAACATTCCAGCAGGCCAGCAGTTGGAAAAGAACTAACCACATCTTTCTTGATGTTTCCCATGACTCGATCCTTGCAGAACAGGCCACTGCAAGTCAGAAAATAGCTTCCTAGGAGAATTTAATACTGAGGAATTGGGAGTTTCTCCCCCTCTATCAGAACCAGAATAATTCTACCTTAAGCCTTGGAGTTTGGGGCTCAACATAACTCAAGCATCCACTCTAGGAATCCCCCATCTGCTGCATAACTTCGGGTCCATTTGTATTTCAAAACTCTACTATGACTAGATATCCATATGCAGAAGAATGAAACTAGACCCCTATCTCTCACCATATATAAAAATCAAATCGGCCGATTGCGGTGGCTCACACCTGTAATCCCAGCATTTTGGGAGGCCAAGGCAGTCGAATCACCTGAGGTCGGGAGTTTGAGACCAGCCTGACCAACATAGAGAAACCCCGTCTCTACTAAAAATACAAAATTAGCTGGACATGGTGACACATGCCTGTAATCCCAGCTATGGGGGAGGCTGAGGCAGGAGAATCGCCAGAACCCAGGAGGCAGAGGTTGCGGTGAGCCGAGATGATGCCGTTGTACTCCAGCCTGGGCAACAAGAGCAAAACTCAGTCTCAAAAAAAAAAAAAATCAAATCAAAATGGATTAAAGACTTACATCTAAGACCTGAAGCCATAAAACTACTAAAAGAAAACACTGGGGAAATGTTCCAGGACATTGCCCTGGGCGAATGTTTCCTGAGTAGGACCTTAAAAGCATAGGCAACCAAAGCAAAAGTAGACAACTGGGAACATCTCAAGCTAAAAAGTTTCTGCACAGCAAAAGAAACAATCAACAAAGTTAAGAGACAACTCACACAGGGGAGAAAATATCTGCAAACTACCCATCTGACAGGAGATTAATAACCACAATATATAAGGAGCTCAAACAACTCTATAGCAAAAAAAAGAAAAATCCGATTTAAAAATGGGCAAAAGATCTGAATAGATATCTCTCAAAAGAAGACATACAAACAAGGCCGGGCACCGTGGCTCACACCTGTAATCCCCGCACTTTAAGAGGTCAGGGCGAGCAGATCACTTCAGGTCAGGGGTTCGAGACCAGCCTGGCCAATATGGCAAAATCCCCATCTCTACTAAAAGTACAAAAATTAGCCAGGAGTGGTGGCACATGCCTGTAATCCCAACTACTCAGGAGGCTGAGGCAAGAGAATTGCCTGAACCTGGGAGGTGGAGGTTGCAGTGAGTCAAGATCACACTGCTGCACTCCAGCCTGGGCAACAGAGCAAGACCCTGTCTCAAAAAAAAGAAAAAAAGAAAAAGAAAAAGACATATAAATGACAAACAGTTATATGGAAAAAATTCTGAATCTCATTACTCATAACAGAAATGTATATCAAAACTACAATGAGATATCATCTCACCCCAGTTAAAATAGCTCTTATCCAAAAGGCAGGCAGTAACGAAAGTTGGCAAGGATGTGAAGAAAGGGGAACCCTCATACACTGGTGGTTAGAAAACAAATTAGTACAGCCAAGATGGAGAACAGTATGAAGGTTTCACAAAAAATCTAAAACTAGAATTAGCATATGATCCAGCAATCCCACTGTTGGGTATACACCCAAAAGGAAAGAAAGCAATATATTGAAGATATATCCACACTCTTATGTGCTCTTGTCTGCACTCATGTTTATCGCAGCACTATTCACAGCCAAGGTAGAGAGTCAACCTAAATGTTCACCAACAAATGAATGGATTAAAAAATGTGATACATATACACAATGGAATATTATTTGGCCATGAAAAAAGAATGAGATCCTGTCATTTGCAACAACATGGATGGAACTGGAGGTCATTATGTTAAGTGAGATAAGCCAGGCACAAAAAGACAAATATCACATGTTATCACTCATATGGGGGAGCAGAAAAAAAAACTGAACTCTTGGAGACAGAGAGTAGAAGGATGGTTACCAGAGGCTGGGAAAGGTAGTGGGGTCAGGGACAAAGAGGAGTTGGTCAATGGGTAAAAAATACAGTTAGGTAAAAAAAAAAAAAAGAGATCTAGGGTTTGACATCGCAATAGGGAAATAATAGTTAAAAATAATTATTTCATATTTCAAAATCAATGAAAGAGTAGAATTGGAATGTTCCTAACACAAAGAAATGATAAATGTTTGAAGTGATGGATGTCCCAATTATCCTGATTTGATCATTATACATTATATGCTTGTATCAAAATATCACATGTATCCCCATAAATACATACAACTATTATGTATCCATAAAAATTAAAAATAATTTTTAAAAACTGTATTAAAATATAGATAATAGAGAAGAATGTATAAAATGTATATGTACACTTTTATTTGAGACAGGGTCTCACTTAGTTGCCCAGGCTGCAGTGCAGTGATGTAATCTTGGCTCACTTGCAGCCTCAACTTCCTGGGCTCAAGCGACCCTCCCACCTCAGCCTCCCAAGTAGCTGGGACTACAGGCACATGCTACCACATCCAGCTAATTTTTGCATTTTTTTTTGTAGAGATGGGATTTCACCATGTTGCTCAGGCTGGTCTCAAACACCTGAGCTCAAGCGATCTGCCCTCCCCGGCCTCCCAAAGTGCTGGGATTACAGGTGTGAGCCACCAGGCCCAACCTACACTTTCAAAATAGTAAAAATTACACAACAATGTACCCACCACCTAGGCTGAAAAATATTAATACATTACAAGTCATTTTAAAGTCCAATCCCTGCCCTTCCCGAATTGTACCCTGTTCTCCCTCACTCCCCAGAGAATTAACCACTGTTCTGACTTTAATGCTACGCATTCCTATACATTTTATTAAGTTATAGCACAAATGTATGTATCCCTAAAAAATAATTGTTTCATTTGGAAAAACTCAGGAGTCAGAACAACCCTAGCCCTGTACAGAACAGATAATATCGGCTGGGCGCGGTTACTCATGCCTGTAATCCCAACGCTATGGGAGGCCCAGGTGAGCGGATGACGAGGTCAGGAGATGGAGACCATTCTGGCTAACAGTGAAACCCCGTCTCTACTAAAAATACAAAAAAAAAAAAAAAAAATTAGCCGGGCATGGCAGTAGACACCTGTAGTCTCAGTTACTCGGGAGGCTGAGGCAGGAGAATGGTGTGAACCCGGGAGGCAGAGGTTGCAGTGAGCCGAGATGGCACCACCACACTCCAGCCTGGGCAAAGAGCAAGACTCTGACACACACACGCAAAAAAAGCAGATAATATCACCACTTTCAGATGAAGGCTTCCAAGGAAAGAAAAGCTGAAGAAGTCTCCAGATCACACTCTGTCTCCAGCTGCCCTGAATGTTTATGAGCGCCCCTTCCAGTGAAGTCGTAGGGCCAGGCATACCAGTGAGTCCTCAGTAACATAGGGCTTGCCACAATTGGGCCATCAGATAGGACTGTCCTGTGGGCCAGGCAAAGGATGTCTAGCATTCTGAATGGATGGACTGTACTCTGAATTCAGTATTTTCTGCTTCTAAACTTGCCGTGACCTGACCTCAGTCCTTGCCAACTAGCCTTCAGGAGTCAATGAAAACAGAAAAATTCTGTGGGGTGAAATAAATGAACCTTAGAAGGTCTAAGCAGCAGTGATGTAGGAATTTCATCAATATGTGGTCAAGACAAG